TGCCACATTGCCGCCGCGCACCTAAAAGTACTCTAAACAATAGAGTGCCTTCATTGCCAATCCAGCCTTTAATTCATGTTTACAGCCGAAACTTCTCATTCGCCTTTTCACAAAGCCTAGTTGGGGGGCTTTTCTTTTGCCTATGCCCTGCCTGCAGGAGCTTAGGCACCCTCCGGCTAGCCGCATAGCCTACAGATCCAACACGGTAAAAAATGAGAGCGCTGATGTGCTAGAGCAGTGCAAACCTTTCTAGAACGTACGTGTGAGCTTCAAATACACCATTGAATAGTGGGAGGCATTTCGAGCTAACTAGATTGCAATCGCTTTTGGTTCTGTTAACAACCTATCTGTAATTGCGTCTTCCTGTGGTTTCAATTTTTTTGGGGGCTTAAAACACACTTCCCCAAGTCTGGAATGCTATTTGAAGCCAGTTCGACGCCCACTGGCTGCCTGGAGACTTTGCAATTTGCGTTACTCGGTTTACCACGCCTTGTGCCACTTCGTGCGATCACACCCAGGAAATGTGGCAGCCAACAATAATTCCTGATCCACGCTTTGCTGTCAGCTTCGAGGCTTGTTGAGCCGAACACCGTGGTTACAACGGAAAACCGATGTTTTCGGCTGGGAAGCTTTGCAGGCATGGTTTGCCGGTGAGTGATGGACACGACCTGAATGATCCAGGGCCTGTCGTTTTGGTAGGTGGCCATCGTCTGATCCTGTTCATTGGGGGTGCTCAGGCATGTCTGCGTGTGACATTTTTGTGACATGCTCAGTATCAAGGCCTTGTCACTGGGATACTGCCACCGTAATGTATCATGTCGGATAACTATACCGTTGAAGCGGGCAGCAGCATCTTTCGGAATAATCGTGTGCTACCCAAAATGCCACGTACCGCATGTCACCATGTATTCGCAGCAGAGAAGAACTCTCGCAGCTATCTATCCTTGCGTACCCGCTGCTGTCCGTTATTCCGCTGCATGGCCTCCGAGTCCATAGAGCTTGCCAAGGCACTACTTTTCCTGGTGGGGAAATCCGGAGGGACATTTTGGGATTGGTTTGGACTTGCATCCCTTCCTCAATCAACCACACGATCCAGGGGTCATTGTATGTTCCGTCACTGTGAATCGCGTCTCGTGAGAGCTTAGCTTGCTCCCTGTACTGAGTGTTGCCCTGTTCGAAGTTTCAAGTTCTTGTGAGTTTGCTTTTCTGTAGGTCTAGAGAGGCGTGCAGAAAAAACTTTCCGCCAGAATTGCCACACCTGATCACACCTGCCTCACAGCCAATCTTTACTATACTACTGCAGGAAGCCCCAGCCAAAACTGATTGTTGCATAGTCCTGTCTTGGCAAATCTCATTCCCTCGTTTTCAACTCCAGGATCTCCGAAGCATGCGGCAGCAACAGGCATTCCCGACCCTCCTCATGCAGGCGCAGGTCGTGCAACGTGTCTTGCAGCTGAGGGCAAGGACAGTCGTCCTGTACGGCTCTGAGGTTCATGAAGGTGCTGACTTCTACAAGCGGGTAAAGACTCAGAGAGGTCTGGGAAAAGCCTTGCACCCTGTGTGACACAGTTGCGTACTTTGCACACGTTCCCAGTTGCACTGGGGCGTGAATCAATGAACTGAACTCACGTGCTGCTGGTTTTTCCATTCATCCCAAAGCAATAGTCCAAGCTGCCGAACCACTGATCTCCAAGCCTGGTTCTGTCGTTGTGTGTCGTTCCCTCCACTGGGGGTTTGTGCAAGCACTTAATTGGGGCTTGGCCGCAAGAGTTCATAACCAGCCAGATAGCTCAGTTTCCTAGACTATCAGATCCTTCGTGCAGGAGTTTGGCAGCTGCTTTGCGGGGCGCTTCAGTCTCAATACCGAAGGATAAAGACTCATGCGCAACCGACATTCGAAGCCGAAAACTGACTTCGGACACATGTGCATCTATGCACTGTCACGGCCGGTAGCCCGGGAAAATGTCACGTCATCTCTCTCCCTGGGACGTCTACGGCAGACCTGTAAGCTTGGGTTTTGTTGGTTGGATTGAACTTGCAGCACTCAGACGGCTTGTTGTGGAATGCGCTGCTGACAGTCCAAGCAATAGTCCAAGCTGCCGAACCACTGATCTCCAAGCCTGGTTCTGTCGTTGTGTGTCGTTCCCTCCACTGGCGGTTTGTCCTGGCGGATCTTCACGCAGGGTGTCGTCAAATTGCCGGAAGGCAAATGTGATGGTGACATTGCGACGGGCATCACAGCAGGAAGTGGCCCCGTGCCCGAGGCATAAATGATCCCTCGGCTGGCTTGATGATGCGCGTGGGGACGTCCGATAATGCGTTCGGCATTTTTCAAGCACCTCCCCTATTAAGTTTTGGGGGCTCCTACAGAGCAGACTTGTTAAGCCATGGCGATAGCGAGACGGAAAGCATAAGCTGCTGACTCCTTTACGAAGTCACTGCTGAGTGGCACGAACGGCACTCTAACAAGTTCACAACCAGCCAGATAGCTCAGTTTCCTAGCCTATCAGATCCTTCGTGCAGGAGTTTGGCAGCTGCTTTGCGGGGCGCTTCAGTCTCAATACCGAAGGATAAAGACTCATGCACAACCGACATTCGAAGCCGCAAACTGACCTCGGAAGCATGCGCATCTATGCACTGTCACGGCCGGTAGCCCGGGAAAATGTCACGTCATCTCTCTCCCTGGGACGTCTACGGCAGACCTGTAAGCTTGGGCTCTTGTCGGTTGGATTGAACTTGCAGCACTCAGACGGCTTGTTGTGGAATGCGCTGCTGACAGTCCAAGCAATAGTCCAAGCTGCCGAACCACCCACAACGCGGACACTGCGACCCCAGAGAGCCGCCGGCCTGTGGCCCTTCGACAAGGGCAGAGGCGGGCGTGCTGCCTTGCCCTACACGCCTCCCATCCGACATGGCGCCAAAACCAGTTTCAGCCTTTCAGCACCGCGCGCCAGATCATTCCCCAAACAGGTTTTTGAACAAGGGGTGACGCAAGGTTGCCCCAGGCATCCTGTGTGCATGGCTTGCCTTTTTCGGAAGCACAGTGTGTCGAGAAGTGAGGCTGACCTGGATGTAGTCCTTAAAGGCAGGTTATTGTAGGGTGATTCAGCCAAGCAGGGCAATCCTATAAACCCAGGGCCTCCGCAACAGTCTTGAGCAGCTTTCATAGCTGCCTGATCTCCAAGCCTGGTTCTGTCGTTGTGTGTCGTTCCCTCCACTGGCGGTTTGTGCAAGCACTTAATTGGAAGACTCATTCTAGCGGTTCTTCCCTGCGGATTCCCCTTAGTTGGAAACGATGCAACCAGGGGTGCCTAGGTAGCTTTTGGCACTATTTTTGCGGTGCTTTTTGCTTCCTGGCGGATCTTCACGCAGGGTGCCGTCAAATTGCCGGAAGGCAAATGTGATGGTGACATTGCGACGGGCATCACAGCAGGTAGTGGCCCCGTGCCCGAGACATAAATGATCACTCGGCTGGCTTGATGATGCGCGTGGGGACGTCCGATAATGCGTTCGGCATTTTTCAAGCACCTCCCCTATTAAGTTTTGGGGGCTCCTACAGAGCAGACTTGTTAAGCCATGGCGATAGCGAGACGGAAAGCATAAGCTGCTGACTCCTTTACGAAGTCACTGCTGAGTGGCACGAACGGCACTCTAACAAGTTCACAACCAGCCAGATAGCTCAGTTTCCTAGCCTATCAGATCCTTCGTGCAGGAGTTTGGCAGCTGCTTTGCGGGGGGCTTCAGTCTCAATACCGAAGGATAAAGACTCATGCACAACCGACATTCGAAGCCGCAAACTGACCTCGGAAGCATGCGCATCTATGCACTGTCACGGCCGGTAGCCCGGGAAAATGTCACGTCATCTCTCTCCCTGGGACGTCTACGGCAGACCTGTAAGCTTGGGCTCTTGTCGGTTGGATTGAACTTGCAGCACTCAGACGGCTTGTTGTGGAATGCGCTGCTGACAGTCCAAGCAATAGTCCAAGCTGCCGAACGATTTGGGCCCCTGTAGTTTGGTTTGCAAGCGGTGATGCAAGGTTGCCTTGCACATCCTCTGCGCATTGCTTTTCCGTTTCGGCAGCTGGGTGTCGTCCTTCACGGCAGGTTGGTGTACGGTGATTCAGCCCAGCAGGGCCAGCCTCTGCGCTTGAAGTGCCCGCTACGGTCACAGCTTTGGAGGATTCCTTGCCTCCCTGCACGACTTCACTCGATGGCAGGGTCTTGACGTTGGCCGAAATCGATTGCCATGAAATCACCTTTTCACCGTGAGAAGTCTCGGAGAAGGGAACTCCGACAAACCGATTCTGCTTTCAGCAGGTACTGTATCGAAGCACAGGACTTCGAATACGAACATGCACAGAAAGCATTTTGGGATTTGCTTGCGCTTAGATGTAGTTTGACGCTTAAAACCAAACCAGGGAAAGCAAGTGCGGTCGGGTGCAAGTCCGAAAGTAGTTCTCTCACGGGATGGATTGGTCAATTTGGGACCGTTGGGCAGGGAGTTTTGAGTAGCTTTCATGGCTGCTGATCTCTACTGAACTAGCGGTTTGTGCAAGCACTTGGGTGGAAGACTCATTCTAGCGGTGCTTCCATGTGCTTCCCTGCGGAGCAAACTTGTTAGGCCATGGCTACAACGAGACGGTTTGCAGAAGCTGCTGACACCTTTTCGAAGCCATTGCTGAGTGGCACGAACGGCACTTCAACATGCGGAGCTTGTGAGTTCTGGTTTTGCAGTAGGAGTTCATGACCAACCAGAAGGGCATGGGAGCGGAAAGTCGAAGCTGGATCAGGAGACCATGGTGATAGCAATAGTAACCTATCCCGCAGACACGGCGATGCTGCTGTGCCATCATGGGTCATGTGCTTTCACCAAGCTCTCTCGTGTTAGGGAGAAATCATAATCGCTGCGTGGTCGCCTTCTAGGACCTGTGGAGTTCGAGTGTGTTCTTAGTGCTGAAAACATGGGGCCGCGATAGCGGATGCCCTGACGACGATGTCGCCTAGTCGCGCGCTAACCCTCTGAACCAGGGCATGCCCATCTCCTCAATTCCCAGTAGTCTAGCTGCACTGTCTGCGCAAAGATCACCTGGATGCATGGTCATGTCGGAAGAAAGGGTCACCTGGATGTCCCATGGATGGCTGTTGATGTCTATCTCATCCAGGAGGACAGAGACGAGGTACCGCCATGAACTCTCCTCGGCGATGCCGTTGGAGTCGTTAGAGTCCGCACTTGGCAGGCCATCCCCGTTCTCTTCCCGATCCTGGGCGGCGAGACGCTTCGCTTGTTCATCGAGCGAATGCGGAGAAGGGAACCTGGACATGGCCTGAACTCTGCCACGAAGGATCCGGGGAGCAACTGCAAAAATCTCTGCAGCAAGTCCGAGGCGGTCGCTGTCATCACCTTATACCGGTCGCTGATGTTAAACTAGCGTGCTGTTGCACCTGCCTGCACCGCCTGGGCACTGCAAACTTGATCGGCAGCCTTGGCTCACTGTGCGGGCTAGGCTAGGCGCTGCGCTAAGGCCCATATAAAATTTGAAAAACATCCTTAAAGGAGCCTCTTTCGACATGTAAGACATGGCGAAGCCATCCCATCCTTATCCAGGTCCGAAACCCTATGAAGAGCGGGATTGAAAACGGGCTTTCAAACAACATCGTATGAACAAAAAGGAACAAAAGAGCCCAGGCTCGGACGTTGAGTCCCCACCAGGTGGTCGATGTTGGCCAGAAGGCGCCTTGGAGGTTCATGGGTAGTTATAAATGATAAATGGGTTATAAGTTGAGCTCGTGCAGGAGGGGCCAGCAGCAAAGTCTGCCTTTATTGTTGGTTCACTCGCAACTACTCCCATGTTGGTTCCGAACCGTACCGACTTTGCAGAAGTACTCTACGAGGCATCGTGCCGAAGGAGTGCCAGAGGATGACTCCCAACTTCGTGTGTTCTACGAGACTTCGAACGCTTGTGGCGGTACAGCTGGTCACCTTCCTCGGGGTTGTCGAACGCGAGGGGGCTCAGTTGTGCACCGGAGACGCGCAAAACACGGGCATCACTCAGCGAAACAACGCCACATCGAGACTGGAAGCCTCGGTCTTACCAACGCAAGCAGTCCTTGAGAAATTCACTTCGGCCTGGTGAAACCTGGACCATCATCGCTCTCGAGTGCGCGAGCGACGCGAATGCCCGATGGGGGGTACCGTTGACAACGAGTTCATGAAGGAAGTGTTCTCACGTCATGCCCGTGCCGAGCCCCTTCAGCATTTGTCACTTCCAATCCGTGTCGAGGGCGTTTGGGACCTTTGGGTTGCTCCTTTCCTAGGCACGAGGCGCCGTCTCTGAAGTATTTCCCAAAGGCCTAGCCTGACGTAGTTCTGTGAGGCCCGGAAGTTGCACTGTTCTGCAGCGCGAGGTTCCTGTGATTGCAGCGCTTGGTGTTGTTTTGAATCGTTCATGTCGGTCTAGACAGGCTGGTGAAATCTTGAGGCCTCGTCCGTCCAGTGGGCGGTGGGCTTTGGAATTCAGCATTTGTTTGGTGCTTCGGCTTCTTGCGGAGTGTAAGCGGCTTTGTGACTTTGGAAGCCCGCGCTGGCTTTCGCTGCATCGGGGGATTGAACCTGGGACAAAGAAGCGCGTCCTCTGGCCAAGTCAGTGCAGCAAAGTCCGACCTGCGACATTCCTTGTTTGCGTCGAACTGCGGAGTCCTCAAGATCTCCACATAGAGTTGCGAGAGGCTGGTCCCATCCCCGGGAAACCCAGGTTTGAACCTGGGCTTGAACCTGGGTTCCCTCCCCCCTGCATTCAGCCGCCCTCTTGTATTGCATTATCCGCTGTGCTGGTAAAGCTGGTTTCCGCTCTTCTGCAATTTCAGGAGCCGGGACGTAGACCAACGCGACAGTTCTTTTCTCGGCACTCGTTCACTTTGATGTGCTTGTTCGCCATCCAGCCATCAGTCTTCGACCCACAGCCATGCACTGGACTCACTGGACCAGCCCGAAGAGAGCTTCCATCAACAGGGTCTGGATCGGAGCGGGGCTGGTGGTCGGCACCTTTGCCGTCGGGACGCAGTGGGTCGTTGCGAAGAGCCCCCGCCCCGGCGGGTGGACCAGAGTTTGTGCAGGGTTCACCGGATCGGTCGAACGTGGCAATGCTTGGTGGCAGGTTGGCTTCTTGGGTTCACTGGTGTTTGTTTTCGGGTTCAGCACCTGGGTGAGAGCGGTCAGGCTTTGAGGGCTTGGACGTGGTGTTAGATCAGTCTTGGGCTCTGGTGATTTGTCGCCAAATGCAATCGCGAACTGGGAAATTCTTGCGCACATCCCTGTCAGCTTCTCGAAGTTCGGATCCTGTGCGTCTGTCGAACATTTGTCGCGATCTAGGGCTAGGGCATCTAGCACGCATTCTCCTACAGTCGCCCGTACTGCTTACAAGTAAAGTTGTGAGCAATCATCAGCACGCTGTCGATTCTGAAGAAGTGCACTGGAGTTGGCGGTTTTCAAACTCCCAAAATGTCATTTGCAAGTGTGCCTGTACCTCGGCTGGGGCATCGCAATTTTGCAAGATTTCCTCGGCCCTCGTCCCCTTGTGTTGTCTCCCCATCAGTTCCCCAAGCTTCCTAACCTCGGCCTCTATACAGGTTGCGCTTGTCTGAGATGTGTATGCTTGGAGGCAGTAGCCCGCAGCATGAGGCTCTCTGAAGCATGAGCTGCCAGCGTTGCCCGTGTTTTCAACACTTCACCGATAACCGGGGAACCAGATGTTCCGTCGTGGCAGCCCAGGCGGTCCTCGCATGCGTAGCGGTGCCGGGGCACCGATTAGCTCAAGTTGACTGGGCCAAGTCGGAAAGTCCGACCTGCGACATTCCTTGTTTGCGTCGAACTGCGGAGTCCTAAAGGTCTCCAGGCAGTACACTCTTCGACCCACAGCCATGCACTGGACTCACTGGACCAGCCCGAAGAAAGCTTCCATCAACAGGGTCTGGATCGGAGCGCGGCTGGTGGAGTTTGTGCGGGGTTCACCGGATCGGTCGAGCGTGGCAATGCTTGGAGGCAGTAGCCCGCAGCATGAGGCTCTCTGAAGCATGAGCTGCCAGCGTTGCCCGTGTTTTCTACACTTCACCGATAACCGGGGAACCAGATGTTCCGTCCTGGCAGCCCAGGCGGTCCTCGCATGCGTAGCGGTGCGGGGGCACCGATTAGCTCAAGTTGACTGGGCCAAGTCGGAAAGTCCGACCTGCGACATTCCTTGTTTGCGTCGAACTGCGGAGTCCTAAAGGTCTCCAGGCAGTACACTCTTCGACCCACAGCCATGCACTGGACTCACTGGACCAGCCCGAAGAGAGCTTCCATCAACAGGGTCTGGATCGGAGCGCGGCTGGTGGTCGGCACCTTTGCCTTCGGGATGCGGTAGGTCGCGGCGAAGAGCCCCCGCCCTGGCGGGCGGACCAGAGTTTGTGCAGGGTTCACCGGATCGGTCGAGCGTGGCAATGCTTGGTGGAAGGTTTTTCTTCTTGGGTTCACTGGTGTTTGTTTTCGGGTTCAGCACCTGGGTGAGAGCGGTCAGGCTTTGAGGGCTTGGACGTGGTGTTAGATCAGTCTTGGGCTCTGGTGATTTGTCGCCAAATGCAATCGCGAACTGGGAAATTCTTGTGCAGACATCCCCGTCAGGTTCTCGAAGTTCGGATCCTGTGCGTCTGTCGAACATTTGTCGCGATCTAGGGCTAGGGCATCTAGCACGCATTCTCCTACAGTCGCCCGTACTGCTTACAAGTAAAGTTGTGAGCAATCATCAGCACGCTGTCGATTCTGAAGAAGTGCACTGGAGTTGGCGGTTTTCAAACTCCCAAAATGTCATTTGCAAGTGTGCCTGTACCTCGGCTGGGGCATCGCAATTTTGCAAGATTTCCTCGGCCCTCGTCCCCTTGTGTTGTCTCCCCATCAGTTCCCCAAGCTTCCTAACCTCAGCCTCTATACAGGTTGCGCTTGTCTGAGATGTGTATGCTTGGAGGCAGTAGCCCGCAGCATGAGGCTCTCTGAAGCATGAGCTGCCAGCGTTGGCCGTGTTTTCTACACTTCACCGATAACCGGGGAACCAGATGTTCCGTCCTGGCAGCCCAGGCGGTCCTCGCATGCGTAGCGGTGCGGGGGCACCGATTAGCTCAAGTTGACTGGGCCAATTCGGAAAGTCCGACCTGCGACATTCCTTGTTTGCGTCGAACTGCGGAGTCCTAAAGGTCTCCAGGCAGTACACTCTTCGACCCACAGCCATGCACTGGACTCACTGGACCAGCCCGAAAAGAGCTTCCATCAACAGGGTCTGGATCGGAGCGCGGCTGGTGGTCGGCACCTTTGCCTTCGGGATGCGGTAGGTCGCGGCGAAGAGCCCCCGCCCTGGCGGGCGGACCAGAGTTTGTGCAGGGTTCACCGGATCGGTCGAGCGTGGCAATGCTTGGTGGAAGGTTTTTCTTCTTGGGTTCACGGGTGTTTGTTTTCGGGTTCAGCACCTGGGTGAGAGCGGTCAGGCTTTGGGGGCTTGGACGTGGTGTTAGATCAGTCTTGGGCTCTGGTGATTTGTCGCCAAATGCAATCGCGAACTGGGAAATTCTTGCGCACATCCCTGTCAGCTTCTCGAAGTTCGGATCCTGTGCGTCTGTCGAACATTTGTCGCGATCTAGGGCTAGGGCATCTAGCACGCATTCTCCTACAGTCGCCCGTACTGCTTACAAGTAAAGTTGTGAGCAATCATCAGCACGCTGTCGATTCTGAAGAAGTGCACTGGAGTTGGCGGTTTTCAAACTCCCAAAATGTCATTTGCAAGTGTGCCTGTACCTCGGCTGGGGCATCGCAATTTTGCAAGATTTCCTCGGCCCTCGTCCCCTTGTGTTGTCTCCCCATCAGTTCCCCAAGCTTCCTAACCTCGGCCTCTATACAGGTTGCGCTTGTCTGAGATGTGTATGCTTGGAGGCAGTAGCCCGCAGCATGAGGCTCTCTGAAGCATGAGCTGCCAGCGTTGCCCGTGTTTTCAACACTTCACCGATAACCGGGGAACCAGATGTTCCGTCGTGGCAGCCCAGGCGGTCCTCGCATGCGTAGCGGTGCCGGGGCACCGATTAGCTCAAGTTGACTGGGCCAAGTCGGAAAGTCCGACCTGCGACATTCCTTGTTTGCGTCGAACTGCGGAGTCCTAAAGGTCTCCAGGCAGTACACTCTTCGACCCACAGCCATGCACTGGACTCACTGGACCAGCCCGAAAAGAGCTTCCATCAACAGGGTCTGGATCGGAGCGCGGCTGGTGGTCGGCACCTTTGCCGTCGGGACGCAGTGGGTCGTTGC